AAGATATTATGATAGAATATTACATGGTTGTAATATAAGAATCTACTGAAGTGTGGGTATGACTAAAAGAAGATTAGTCAAAGTAGTATAGTAGTAATAAAATGATTCCTTCTTCCATTCATAAAATAAGAAAAATGAAATTACTTAAAATTAAGATAGAAAACAAACAAAGGCTTAAAAAGAAGAAATAAGCAGAAGAGGTTTGAAAAACCTTAATAGGAAGAAATAAAGCAAATAAATGATTTTCTCATTTTGCAAGATAAACCTAAATGATAGGTTAAACAAAGAGATTACTCTTTTTTAATAAGCTCAGGGATGTGATTAGTCTCCCCTAAACTAGGAAGAATAGATGAAAATTCTATTACTACTTAATTAAGTAATTTTTATTTATCTTATTTTTATTTATCATTTATTATCTTTATTAAATTAATTTGATTGAATTAATGTTGATAAAACATGAAAATTCAAATCACAAAAACATGAAATAATAAAAATAAAACAGAATTGAATTTTCTTTTCTTCAATTTTTTGTTATTTTTAAAAAAAATGAAAAAATACTAAAAATAAAATAAACTAATTATAGAAAATAATAATATTATAATTTTATTATTATTATATTATTAATATTATTAAATAATTATTGTTATTGTAAAAAAAAATAAAAATAACATTTATTTAAAATAGAATGGTAATAAAAATAATAGTTAATTTGATGTGTTAATAACGTGTATTAATTATTTAAACATTCATATTTTGAACTTATAAACATCAAACTAAATTAAAATGGAAGAGGTGTATATAATTTAATTCTATATTCATATCTTGACATATAACAACATCTATAATATATCATTTTCTTTCATATTTTGATAATATATATCTTGTCTTCTAGCATGGAAAGAATTGTCACTAACCAATAAATCTTTATTGTAAGTTATTACTATTTCATCATTATTAATACATTTTGGAGGAATATTAAAATCAATAGCATCAAATTCATTAAAATTGTGTAATTAATATCTTTAAATATTTGTTTACAAACATAATCATGTTTTAATATTTGATTCTTTTTCATTACATCCTGACAGTATATGATTAATAGATGCAATTGTGTTAGGGCAATGTTTACAATATTTTAAAGCATCATTTTTGAGTATTTTTGATTTAATATTTCCTGTCATACTTACTCCTTCTTGCATTTTTACTATTTGGAGGAATGCATTTCTTTTTATATTTAATGACCTCCAAGTGGCTACTGTTAATTTCTTATCATTAAAAGTGCCATTTGCACATCTTATATATTCACCACATTTCTTTTCTTTCCATTCATTTAAATATCTTTCATTTAATTCATTATTTACCCATTCAAATACTTCCTTTACATCATGTTTTCTTTCATTTAATTCTATTACATTCATTAATTCATTAAAATTAATCTTCTTACCAAATGTTTTCTTCATTCTTTTAATTATTCCATTTGGATTTTCTTTTATTGCCTCTATCATTTCTCCTATTTCTGTGCTTGATCTCCACTTATATTTTAAATATATTCTTAATAATTCTTTACCACATTCATCTCTTGATGACATTAATCCTAATCCCATTTCATTTATTTTAACATATAATCTACTTTTTGGGATATTTCTACTGTATAATTGGAGTTGTATCAATGATTTTCTTATTTGTTTATCTATCTTCTCCAACTCTCATAGTTTCCATGTGACAATACAAAATCCATATCTTAATTTTGAGATTATATCATTATTAATCTTTCTTATTGTATTGAGGCTGCTATATTTCATAGTATTTAATGATGATAGAATAGAAGATATATCATTTAATATTCTTGTACAATATTTATTAATATTTACTTTATCTCATATTTCTATACCAAGGTATTTATAATGATTGTCATTAGTTACTCTTGGTCAAATAAGAAACAAGATAAATACAATAATAATAAATATTACACCCATAACAAATATAAATGAATAGCAATAAATGATATACAAGAAATAATAAAAAGAATAATAAGGGAATCGAACAAAGGAGAATACGAAGAAATACTCAAAAAATATGAAGATAAAAGAAAAAGATGGTATGATAATCAACAAGAAGTATATTCAATCAAAAAGAAAAAGATAAATGAAAAATTAAAAGAAGAAATTAAAGAAAAAACAAAAGACAATGAAGAAAAAGACATTAAAACAAATGAAGCAGAAATTAAAAACAAAAATCCAAATAAAGAAATGAATGAAAGGTGTAAAATTACAAGAATAATAAATAACAAACAAATTATAATTAAAATACAAGAAGAAATACAACAAAAGAAAGAAATAGAATTTTAAATGAAGTATTGTATTGTTTTGCAATTAATTGATTAAATAAAAATTATATAAGAAATTAAGAAATGAACAAATAGAAAGCATTATAAAAGCAATAAACATCAATGTCAATAATGAAAAAGAATATATTAAATATATTAAAATATCACATAAAATAAAAGAAAATACTAAACAATACATTAAAGTGAAAATAAATGATATAATAGAAGGAAGAGTAGAGTGTAATTCAATAATAAAAAATATCATATTAAAGAATAACTCTACTGAAATTGATGAAGAATACTTTAACATTCTCATCAATAAAATGAAAGAAATGAAAATAGAAAAATGTTCAAACATTAATTACTATATTCAATGAAAAGAAGCTGACCGATTAATAATGGAAATTAATAATAGATGGATAATGTCAGGAAGCAGAATACAGGATCTGCAAGATGATATGAAGAAGATTTCAATGGTTATGCACCTTTATCTCCAAAATAAAATAATAGGAGACAAATTTGATGAAATAAAAGAAATCCTAAAGAAAATCAATAGACTAGAAGATTTGGTCAAGGGAAGAAAATGTACAGAATAAAGTGCAACATGAAATTAAAAGAATATGATGAAGAAGGAATAAAAGTCAAAACACTGGAAAGAATAAAATACCTAAAATATATGATGACAATGATAAAAGAAAAAAAATAAATTTAATAAGGAAGAAATAGTCAGAGTCAATACAAATAAAATCATGTTTGATTCTAATAAGAAAATTAGAATAAGGAAGAAACAACAAATGAAATATACGCAAATAACAATATTACTTTAGAATATTGGAAATGTTATACGAAACACAGGTGAGATTAAATAAAGAAAATTGGAAAATAAAACAAATCACCTCGTGGAATGAAAGATATAGAAATTATGATAATGTCATAATAACAATAAATGAATTAAATTTAAGTATAATGAGAATAAGTAACTGGAAAGCACAATGAATAGACACTATATATGGGTATTATTGGAAAAGGATGTCATCATCAAGAGAAGCCATTCTCAATATCTTTAATGAATGGTTGAACTTCAATCAAAACATCCCATTAGACATGGTAAGTGGATGAACTTTATTAATCCACAAAGGAGGTGATATGAACGATGTCACTAATTATCGTCATATCAGTTGTACAAATGTAATTATGAAAGTATTTACCTCCATATTAAAAGAAAAGATTCACAGAAGACTTAACATAAATAATAAATCATTTAAAACTTGTAGGAATCAATTGTGGTGTAAGTTGCAATCTCTTGCTGCTAAAGAATGAATAATAATTAGTTATATATTAAAGCAGCAGAAAGAAGAAAAATAAACAAAATATGTGGAGTCATATTATGACATTAAGAAAACATATGACACAGTAAACCATGAATGAGTAATTGAATCATTAAAATATTTTAATTGTGAGGGAGTCATCATTGACATTATTGAAAGTATGATGACTAGATGAAAGATATTCATCGGCTATAAATTTAATGAATATCCATAATGATTAAATTAAATAGAGGAATTTTACAAGGCGATTCCTTATCAAATCTACTCTTCATCATTCAGATGAATGTATTTTCTCAAATCATCGAAGAGAAATTCCCAAAAGCAAATCACAACTTATATATGGATAATTTGAGAATAATGACAGAAAGTAGTGAAGAAATTGGAATAATCCACAATGAAGTTAATGACAAATACATCAAAAAATGGAAGTGTCATCAAACAAGTAGACACTTCAGAAGATGGTTCGAGTCAAAAGGAGTAGATAAAACTACTACAGTGAAAGCATGGAAGTCCATCAATATTAAGAAGAATGCATTTCTCCAATTAACTAAAATACAAGATGGTGCAATATTTTGTGTGTATAGAAAAGCAAAAATAATGAAAAATGAAAGATTAAAATACTCAACACTTTGTAAAGACAAGACAGTAACAGTAGAACACATTCTACTATCTTGTATTTATCATAATAAATCACAAATAGAAAAACATGACAATATATGCATTATTATATTGATTAATAAGAAAATATACAGGAAATATTCAATATAAAAAACTCCCATATGAAACAATATTCCAATATAAAGACATCACAATGATATGAAACGAATAAATAATGCATAAAAGTGATTGACAATATCACAAAATACCAGACATATATGTAATAGATAAAAAGAATCAAACTGGTGTATTATTTGATATGACTATTGTGGCTGATCACAATATTAATGGAGTGTATTTGAAGAAAAGAAATAAGTATAAAGAATTAAAGAATATTCTAATGAAAATAGAAAAATTAAAAGATGTCAGAATAATTCCAGTAGTAATCTCAATCAATGGATTAATGAATAAAGAAAGTAATAAATTAATTAAAGAATTAAAAATTGACATTGACATCATTAAAGAAATAAAAAACCTTGTAATAAAAAACATGATGGATGTCATGGAATACTGCGGAGATCACAACCAAACATACTCCGTAGAGCTGCTTGAATATGATGAATACAAATGGATGTGATTAATCTCCCCTGAGCCATTAAAAATAGAAGCTAGTTCTATTAATACTTAATTAATTACTTGTTATTAAAGATGTTTATTTTAAATAAAACAAAAATACCCATTTACTCAATTCATTTTTTAGGTTGTTTATTTTTCTTTTGACTAATTAGTGGAAGGAAACGAGCTTCGAAATACAGATTAACATTAGCTCTATGACCAATGACGTCTTTATTTTTGTATTCTATCCAAACAAATAATTTCTTTCTTCTCAATAAAGAAACTTCTTTTTCATTAGAAATAGTCTTAAAGAAATGGAAATATTTTCCTCCTTCTCCAATATCTTTATTCCATTGAACTTGAACTCTTTTATCTTCACTTGCACCTATATAAAGGTTCATATCAAAAGAAAGAATTTGATCATGATACCCTACAATTTGATTAATTTGAGTTCTATTAACATTGAAATCAATATACATTTCTTTTAATATGAAATTAGGTGGAGTATTCATTTCAAGATTAAGAGTTGGTTCTTTTTGTTCTTTTAAACATTTCCATGTTGTAGAATAATTAGATAAAGCAGCTCTTGAATAAGCTGGCATATTCATCATAATTTTTCCAACAATATCCCTATTATGAAATTTTTCATTCAACATTCCTGAAATTATTCTTAAAGCAATATCAGTAAATGATTTGTCTTCATTTTGTAGTAAAGTTTCCTCTTTTTCTTCAGGAATTAATAAATCTTCTCTAACAATAAATCCTTTCATTTTCTTAAAATTATTTACTGCATATTCTAATGAATCAATGTCTTCAAAAAATAGTATGATATTACTCTTGTTTACTGGCTCTTGTCTACAATTATATTTAATCTTACTAAGGAATCGTTCAATAGGCTCTTGCGCATGTTCACTAATTTGAGTTAAATGAATAATCATTGTTTGTTCACCATAGTCAGTATCGTACACAATTACATTTACAACAAACTCATTATCCTTTGGATGGAATAATGTTCTGTATAAGGGTAATGTATCATATACTGTTGGAACACATAGCACTGGTCTTAATGCTTGTTTTTCCATCATTAAGCGTTGTGATTTCTTAACTACCATTGGCACAATGTTTATTTGATAATACCCACACAAATAAGTAAACACTAAATTGACTAAATAATTCATTGGTTGCATCATCATAGACTTCTTATCAATATCATTAATAAATTCAATAATTGTAGTTTCTAATGCTTTGCTTGCCCTTCCTGCAGCATCATATAAACATAAAAACCATAATGGATAATCTACTCTTTTTTTATCTACTCCAACTTTCTCCTTTCTAACATGTTCTTTTAAACAGTCTAAATTACAATCAATAGTTCTGTGTTGCCATGGATGTTCTGGTGTTGCTCCACAAACCACTTGAACTTTTCTAAATCCACAACCACACTTTACTTCAACTAATTGGTCACATGGAGTTGTTGGACATGGAGTATTGCCATGACATTTACTATTACAATTATGGGTACAATAAGGTTTTTTCTTTCCACACTCATATGGACATTGACCATTCTCAGTACATGGACCATCATGACAAACTCTCTTACAAACATGAACACCACATGGCATAGGTTTACCACAAATTTGACCACATGAAGCACTTTCAATATAACAAGGTATTTTTACTTTATTTTTACCACAATAACAAGTCTTTTCTGTTAATGAAGTACATTTTGGACATGGTCCAAAATGACAATTATGTTGTACTGGTGGATGTCCACATGGTGGAATAATAAGACATGGATAATTACATTGTGGTGGTTGTGTTCCACATGGGATTGGTGGCATAATTTTTGTTTTACCGCAACGACAAGTTAATGGAGTTAACATCATATGAGAACAAGGTGGACATTTCTTATTTCCATGACAAATTTGCATACATTTATGACCACATGGTAATTCTTTTCCACAATAATTAAAACATTGATGTAAGTCAGAATTTATTTTACCATGAGCTAAACAACATTTCTTATCACATCTATGA